AATAAATTACGTTTAAAATAATAGTTTATGAGAATAAAGAAATTTTTGTAGGAACAAGGGTGCCAGACGTGAACTGATCCCTTCATCTCGATACATGATAAATAGAGATTTTACTTGAAATATTGTGATAACAATTGTTATTTATTTATTAATGTTGATGCTAAAACAACAAATTAATAGGGACGATTGTTTTCGAATGTACGGTTAATACAATTCATCATTTTTAATATTATTAACGTTTACATGTTTTATAATTTATTATGTTAAATAACACAATTTTAGTATTTATTATTCAATATGCAGTTGCGTATAACCAAAGTTTACATAATAAATGTAAACTTTGGTGTAACCTAGGTAGGTACTTATTGTTTTTGAGAAAGTAATATGTTTTTTACCTGTTTAAAATGCCATCACGAGTAAAATAGAATTCATCCATCCTTTGTTAATAAAGTTAGGGTCTGCTACACTTCGATTTAGGAACCAACTGCAAAATTCAAGACTATTGGGGAAATCAGCTGGTAAGCTAAAGTTTGAACTTTTTGAAAATGGTATGGGTTAAGTGAATTCTCGCGCAATATCCGTCAAACTTTGGTTTGTGATATCTCCAGTCGCTCTGAAATTGTTCTTGTGGAAATAGGCTACTCCTCGACTAAATTTGAAACAGCCTTTATCACATTTAAGTCATTTTGTTGATGTCCTGCACGTTCTCTGCGCGGTATGGTATGATAGAGGCAGTTGGAAAAATGCGGGAGATATGGAAGGTGGTAGATTTGAATAAACGCTTTAAATTGTTAATGGTTTTGTAACCGTGTGTAGTGTATTTTGTATATTCGGGTATTTAGTAGTGTGCCGACTTTTTTTATTTGATAAAATACGGTGTGCCTACAAACAGGTAACTACCTCTGCTTTATTTATTTTCTTTTAACGAAAGTTGACTTCGAGAAGTCAGGCTTGTTAAAACATTTTGCACTAAGTTAATACAATTGTTAAATTTATTTATAATAAAATGCAGCATGCTCCTTTATTTACTT